CAGACAGCACCTCTGCTCTGTAACACTCAACTAGGGATTGCTTTCTCCACTTTCAGTCCCCTAAAGGACCTTCAGTAGTTTAAGCAAACAGTCAAAAGCATCTCAATAGTTTTAAGATGAAGACCACATGGGAAAAAAGTTTTAATCCAAAACTTTGTAGTCTTAACGCACACACATACACACAAGCAAGTGTCTATTTACTCATTCCTTTTGTCAGCTGAGGTTTATTTTGAAAATGTAAAGGCCAGCCTTGAACTCTAAGATTACCCATTTTATTCAAAGACTGATTTTCTTTTTAATCAGCATCTGTGCCACAGACAGCATTCTGTATTTCATGTCTACAGCTACAAATATTCAGCAACTAGCCACAAATATTCTACAAGCTTTTCAAAAATACAGAGTGGACTATGGAGTAAAAAAAAAATAAACTACCACAATACATCTCTGATCTTGTAGTCGGATCAACACAGATCATCTCCCTCCACACAAAAAGCCATCAGCACTCGTTAACAGTTTGCTGGCAACATTTTTGGCATTCCAGATAGATGTCTTAATTTTCATATAAAATAATCACTACAAATATAGTCCTTTTAATCTTGTTTTGTAAGCATTACTCCAAAACTGTAAACAGCATAGCTAATTCCTGCTATTCCACAGAGCTCTTGGGCTGGTTTATATAAGACCTTGTTTTAATGATACTTCATTATAATAAGGACAAAACCATCTCATTTTGCAATCTCCATATTAAATTTCATGCATGCATAAGTAAGGAATATTTTAAGAAGAAAAACCACTCAGAGAGCATCCATTCTCATAATTTGTATCTTTCACCTTATACCACTAGGAAGCTTTTGCTTAAAACTTAGGTTGCACGTACAGAAACTGGAATACAATTAACATTCTATTATTCATCAGAAGATTATGTAAATTGTGGGTTAAGTAGGGTCAGGTTTTTTTAACTGAAACACCTCTGGCCTCCACAAAGTATAGTGCTGCTTCCGTAAGACCCCACCCATATTTACTATCAGTTGCTAATGTAAGACTGACCGTGTTCCCCCTCCTCCCCAAAAACTATCCACAGATTTTAAAAAAGGTGCATATTCCAAGTGTAACCCTGTAGTTTAATTTATATTAATTATCTTATCATTTTTCCCCTTGGTCTAAGTTATCTTTTCCCTCTCCCAATTATTACTACGAATAGCGTGGAATTGACTATCTCTATAACAAACATTCAATTTCTTGATCTTTTGATTTAAAAATCCTCTGGAGCCCTCCAGTACTCAGAACGGCACTTTATTTGAAATTCTTGGTCCCTAAGTATTTCATAAGCTGTTGGTGACTCCAATTAAAAACAGCTTTCAAGGAAAAACACTTCTACTACACCCTCCTCCTCCCCAACCTGTATTTCCCCATGACCACCAGAAAAGCCAGTGTTCCAGCTGTTGATGGGTTCCCTCAGGAGCCCAGATTGGTGTTGCTCAGCAACTAAACCAAGGCTGTTCATGGCTTTTGAGAATTCCAGAGGTGCAGTGGGGGAAGATGGAGTTTAGTTTTGCATGGGAACAGGATTAAAAGTAAGGTGGGGCACGTCAGCAAACCAGAGTTCTTGTCCTCTCACCACTCATACCACTAAGCAAACATTCCACCTACGGATCTCAAACACTTAGAAGAAAAAGCACAACCCAGCTTCTGTCCAAAGTTGTACCTGAGTTAACAGCATGTATGAGAAACAACATCAACAGCAGCACAGTTAGCAGACACCATATATTTTATAAACATTTTTCACAGATGAAATAAAATAATAAGCTTCTCAGTGTTACACTAAGCACATAAACGGGTCAAAATCACTGAATGCATTTGGACAAATATAAAGCTTCAAAAAAGGAGTAATAGATGAGGAAAACTACCAGGTCGAAACACAATTTAAGAATCTGAGATGAAGGTGGGCAAAAAACCCCCACACCTTTCAATCTGCCCCAAAAGAACCCTGCTGACTTGCACGAAGTTCATGCCTCCCATTTTGAACATACAAAAGAGACAGTAAATCATATAAATAACACTGATATTCTTCAGTCATTGACATGGCTACTGAACAAGTAGATTCTTAAAACGAATCCAGTCTACGTACTATGTAGGACTTGTAGCTCTGATGAACAGTTCGAGTCAGGCAATTTTGTAATTAAAAACAACAGAAGAAATAGAAGAGCAGACAGATTAAGTGGCTTGACAGACACCATAGATAAGATCAGTGGACAAAAAGCAGAGTTACTGCTCAAACCCTGGCTCTGTGTCTAATAAATTAATCTCAGTCGCATCATTTACAACGTCCCTTCTGTCTCGTTGTCAATATTTGTAAAAACATCAGTCTTTGCTGCTTAAAAAGACTCTGAAACACGTTTGGCTTACATGATAATGTTCCCTGTGGTTGGTTGGGGGTTTTTTCCCCTTTTTTTTTTTCCCAATTTAAACAGATATTCAGCAATCTCAGATTCAATTATATGAAGGACCGTAACTCCAGAATACTCTTCTTTCAGTAGCAAATTCACTGTAAGGGTACAGCTCAACAAGCATTTAAGCAAACACAAGCCTGATACCGCCTCTAAATGCTTCTTCACCACATTTGGGGAGGCACATGGGGAACCAGATTGGAGAGTCGCTCCAGCTGGGAACTAACATAACAAAATTGCACTGATTATTTTCAGCCACAGAGTTTTCTTGACTTAGCTTACTGCCAAAAAATGTTTCTTCTGCCAAGGGATATGTGAAAACAAGGACAAATGCAATAATGAAAGCAACATCTTTTCTTCCTGTGGCAGCAACAACTTATGCCACTGCAAAGTATTTATGTAGCCGTGGATTAAAAAAGGTACGGCATTCATTCCTGCCAAGACAACTCTTTCTCTGGCTGTGAACTAACCTGTTTGCTAAATGATTCAGTCTTAAGAAACACTTTCTGTTATTTATTTTTTTTAACAAAACAATTTCACAGGACTTAGGCAGACAATGGGGCTATGCACAACTGAACTGGCAGACTTGAGGGCACCTCTTTGAGATAACAAAAGTTCATTTTAAACCAAATCTACTGCCAACAAAGTAACAGAACCAGTCTTGGGAAAGGTGTTAACTCAAAGAGGACAATGATTCTCAAGGAAAGCTTTTTGTAAAATAATAAATAAATAAATAAATAAATCTCTGTATACACACATATGTATTTTTAACTTAGCTTTAGATTTTGTAAAGCAATGTTGTTTTGCCAGGATTTTGTACACTCCGTTTCACCACCTGTCTACCCCTCCTTTTTAATTTCCTCTTAAAGAGTCAACCCCAAAATATGAATGATGCAAGTGGAGACGCAGGAACAAACACACTAAGGAGTCTGAAATGAAACATTTAATCTACTTTTAATTTATTGCATTTTAATCACCAAAGGAACAGGTACATATCAGCCACTGATGATGCACAGTAATTACTGCATATAGCTATGTAGATTTAGCATATTCGTTTACTGTTACTCCTTAGATGTCCATAGACAAGGCTTTATGTTGGCTTTTAAAAAAAGCATGAGTTAAAAAAAGTTTCCTGTAGAAATAAGTAGTTACTACTGCACCCTGATATAAGTTTTATAGTCCAGATGGCAGGTCATGACACCTCTTTAGGTTCAATTTCTGCTCCTCAAAGCCTTAGAAATGTTGTTAGAGGCGCCAGGAATTTGCCTACAGAGCCAACTCCAGCATCAAAGATTAATGCTCTGGTTATGTGGAGACAACAATTTAAACTTGAGTACTTTTTAAGTGTACCTCTTCCTATAAAGTGTTTGTGGGCATTCCTGGCCGCAAATCAAACATCCTAGGCGCTAAGCAGCACTGGAACATGTTCACTACATTGTTTCAGAGATGTCCAAATTAGTTTTACTGCCCTCTGTAAATGTCTATCTGTAGAGCCATTTCACCAAAAAAAGATGCCAAACTGTTTCTTTAACTCTAGATTACTTCGGGTTCTGGATATCGCAAAAGTTATTTCTGCTCAATACCCCAACAAGTTGAGCCTTCCTCAGATGACCTAACACTATAAACACTCTAGACCTGTGCCTACAATAAGAAAGAGAGAAAAGTAAAGCCACTTCAAGAATGGCTGCTCCACACACTCTTTCTAGCCAGCAGCTCCAATGTCAGCGCAACTGTTACTGCAGCCAAAATCCTACGGAACTAGTCAGAAGCTCTCACAGATCCACAGCTTCCTAACTCAGCTGTGTGAGCTGAAAAGAGTTATGTCAGTAACAACTATAACACATGGTAATGGAAAAACAGAGCACATCACTTCTATTGCTACTGTGCATCCTGTTGGCGAAAAACAGGTATATAATTAAGCAGAGCAGAACAGACACGTGTATATTAAGGGAGCTTTAGAAATGTAAAACAGTGGCTAACACCTCACTCCCAATAAAGCACTATGCTATGAGACAATCCCTGCTACATAATCTGCCCTGAGGAAGGGAAGGAAGTAGAATTCTTTTTCCTTCCCCTCTTCAAGTTAGCGTTAAAAACTGCATCCATCTCTGACACAAAATCAAAACAAACAACACCCACACAGAAATTACTGCTAGTACTTCCGGTCATCCTTCCTCTTCAACAAAGTTACACCAAGAGATTTACCTTTCTTCTTCCCAAGATGCACACATAGCTCACTGAAAAGAAACTCCAATTCATCCGAAACATTACCCTAAGTCAAGCTTCACACAACAATTACATTAACATGCTAGAAAGCGTTCAATGTATAAGCTGCAATGACAATTAACGAAACACTCTCTAGTTTCAGTGAATAACAAAGTTAACTATTCTTTCAGTGCCATTTTACGACCAGTAACTTAGTATGTGCCCAGTCAGAGGGTCAGTTGCTACGGCAAATATATACGCCTTTACCTAACTTGTAAACAGCAAACACCACAATTAGATTGGCACAAGCCAACGGGATTTAAAAAAACAAAGTTGCATCACTCTTACCGGTAAGTCCACGCTGACATCTGTTCCATCCAGCAGCGCTACTCGGCAAGTAATGATGGATTTTGCGTCCCCAGCCGCAGGGATGTGGGTTGCAGCTCTTTGGGCCTCTCTTAGCCGTTCCTTCTCCGCATGCTTACGCATAGACCGCCGTCCCAGGGTTCGACGGAAAAAGCTCAGCATCTTTGCTACAAAATCCAAGACAGAAAAAAAACCCCATGTCAGTTATCAAGGCCAGGTTGGATGGAGCTTGTATGAGTAACCTGGTCTGGTGGGAGGTGTCCCTACACATAACAGGTGGGTTGGAACTAGATGATCTTTAAGGTGCCTTCCAACCCAAACCATTCTATGATTCTAGGGGAAGGCAGGGAGGTTGGAACTAGATGATCTTGAAAGTGCCTTCCAACCCAAACCATGCTATGGATCTAGGGGAAGGCAGGAAGGTTGGAACTAGATGATCTTAAAGGTCCCTTCCAACCCAAACCATGCTATGGATCTAGGGGAAGGCAGGAAGGTTGGAACTAGATGATCTTAAAGGTCCCTTCCAACCCAAACCATGCTATGGATCTAGGGGAAGGCAGGAAGGTTGGAACTAGATGATCTTAAAGGTCCCTTCCAACCCAAACCATGCTATGGATCTAGGGGAAGGCAGGAAGGTTGGAACTAGATGATCTTAAAGGTCCCTTCCAACCCAAACCATGCTATGGTTTCATTTTCCATGGGAAAAAAAAGTTGTTAGAAAATGCCACAAAGATAAAGAACTCTTAGAGATTGATAAAGAATCTTTTGATAAAGAATGCTTAGAGATTCAAGCTGTTGCTTCACTTCTTTGGATTTAAATACCCGGACTCTTGGAGTTTTAAAAAAAATATAAATAAATAAAATCCTCAGCTCAGATCTTTGACGGTAGCTGGGCTGATTTTGGGGGACAACCTGAAAGTATGTCAGGGAAGGAAAAAAAAACCCCAGGGATTGCACGGATCTCATTCAACTTCTTGCCATCCTTCCGTAACACCAGGGCTGCAGCACACCCCGGCGAGAAGGCGATGTTCTCTCAAAGCTGGGAAGCAACTCGGAGCTACCAACCGCCGGTACCTCTCTCTCTCTCACCGGAATATAAAGAAGGTACCGAGCGGCCCTTCCCGCCCCTGGTTTCACCCCGGACAGACGCGGGTGCCCCTCGGGGACAGGCTGAGGGCGGTAAAGGCAGAGCCTTTGGGGGCACGCCGGTTCTCCTCTCTCTCCGCCACCGGGAAGGCGGCCTCCGGGAGCCGGGGGGACGAGTCCCAGCCCCCGGTGGCCTCAGGTGGCAACCCGGGGGGGACTGGACTCTCTTATATCGGGGCCGGGGCGGCCCGGGAAGGGGGGACCGGAGCGGGGC